TTAATCATACGTTGTTTCCAATTTTCTAACATTATTTCTAATACAAATATAACAATACAATCTTATGTACCTTTGCAGAATCACTTTTTCAGTTAAATTTTCACCCATTATCTCTGAATAAGTCCTGTTTCTTTACATCTTGCTCCAAACCTCTGTAACTTCTCTTTCCTTCCTTCCTCCCTTGCTTCTCTCTCCCCCTTTCCCTTGTCTCTCCACCTCCATTTCCCTCTTCTGTGTTCCCCTTTTCTGTTGCTTTCTAACATATCCACTTTTCATATTATTTTTCCCTTTTTTGGCTGTTTTTTTAGGTCTTAAATTCTCCACTCTCTTTCCCTCCTTTCCCCTTTCTTCCCCAGATAAAGTTACTTGTTCATCAAAGATGGCTTCTTCTTTGTCCCAATCTTCTTGTTGCGCAGTCTTTTCTTGTAGCTTCTCGTAGGTACAGATCGCCATTTCTAAAAATTGAAAAACGGAGCCAGAAGAGCCCTTCCCTTCTTGTTCCTCTTCTTTATATTTTTTAAATTCCATTTTCAGTTCATCCACAAGTGATGCCATTGTAGAATTTTTTTAAACAACCACCCAATTGTTTTTAGTCATTCAGACATAATTTTCAAAAGTCCCACAGTCACCAAGCAATCCAAATACACCCAAGCTGTTTCTTTTAGCACTTTCTTCTTTTTTCACTTTCTCTTCCTGGGGTTACTATTTAGTTGCAAAGTTCCAGTTAAAATGTATCTTTTAGAAGTCTTGTTTAGATTTAATTTTAAATTCTTTTGAATTCCAGGCAGGCTCCTCCTTCCAAATCCTGCTTTATTCTTTTCCTCTCCCTTCCCACTTATAGCAAAAAAAGGATTTTTTAATATTCAGAAATCTTTATTGTCCCCTTGGCGTTTAATTATATTTCCAGTTTAATTACCTATTGGTGCCAAAGCGGGTTTTTCCGATTTCTCATTCATCTGTCTTCGCTGTCACCATAAGGAAGGAGAATGAAAGAAAAAAACTTTCCCTTTTCACTTTCATTCGATGCTTCCGAATCTTCTTTGGGAGCGATGTATCTTTTATAAATTTTTAATTCCAGGATACCTTGGTTGTTGCTTCTTATCCCGGTCAGCCAAAACTTTCACTTCTTAACTTCCTCCTGCACTTTCCGGATGAGTGCTTCTTTGAGGCGGCCATTTCTGACCGCCGCTCTTACTGCCTTCGGGAAAGGGAGTTTAGCCAGCTGAGGAGGAAAGATGCGGCTTTCCTCGACGCTGCTGGAATCTCCCCTCTCTTCACCACCTCTACGGAGTGGCTTAGCCCCAAAGCCAAACTGGCTCGGGGCGCTCCAGCGGCGAGCCCAGGCAGAAACCGTGCACGATTGCGGATTCCTGCCTACCGCCGAAGCCCTGCAAACCGGAAGTCCCCACACTCTAACCATTACACCACCATGGCTCAAAAAGACCCACAAACAAAGTTTGTTTGTTTATTTGTTTGGAGACTGGCTTGTTCCTGGGGATATGGGGTGCTCCTTCTTGCAACTTGATCCTGGTGAGATCTTGCAGCCCTTCCAGGTTTGCCTTTGAAATCTCTTGGGTTGTTTTTCATCTCCATCCCTTAATCCTGCCCTCAAGCTTCTTGACCTAGCCAATTTCCTCACCTTTCATTGCATGCCTAAAATCAATCCCTGCTCACTAATCATCATCTCAAGGGAGTCATCATTTCCATTGGTCCAGAATAGATTGGGTCTTGCAGGAACCATCAATGTGCATCTTAGTAGATAGAGTCACTTAGCAGGAATAAAGAAGAGGTCTACCACTGACTTTTTATTTTAGTTTCCAGTGCAGTCTGCAATCTGAAGATTTCCTGGTGGTCTCCTGTTCAAATTTTAAACAGATACCTTTTGTTGCTTTGCTTTTTTTTCAGATGCTGGTATTTTCTGCAATACAGATACTCCTTGACTTATAACTGTAACAGAGTCTGGAATTTCTGTTGTAACTCAAGACGGCCATTAATTGAGTCATATGGCCAGACTGATCTTACAATCTTTTTTGCAATGTTGATAAACAAATGCCACATGATAAAATGAACACTGTGGTCAAGCAATTTAATGCATTTAGAGGGCTGCAACTGACCATACAGACTTAGGACATACTGAGTCCAAAATTTCAATTGCTAATCACAGTTGTTAATTGTCCCATTTTACGACTTTTTTGGGCACAGTTGTTAAGTGAATCACTATATTTAAATTAGTAACGTGATTGTTATAAATGAATCTGACTTCCCCAAGTTTCAGAAAGTGACCACGTGACCACAGGGGACCCCTGGACACCCCAGGACGCAATTATGATAAATACGAGCCAGTTGCCATGCACCCAAATTTTGATCACGTGACCATGGGGGTGTTGCAAGAGTCATAAGTGTGAAAACATAAGGTTTTTTTTTCAGCGCCGTTGTAACTTTGAGTGGTCGCTAAATGAATGGTTGTAAGTCAACTACAAGTAGTAAAACTGGTTACTGATGCAGGCATGGGACTGTGGGGGAAGAATGGACAGTCATTGGAATTCTGGAATTGGATCACAGATCCTTTTGTGTGGCTGTTGTAACGTTGATTGCTGAGCCACCAATCATTAAGCAAGGACCATCATAGTAAACTGGGACTTCTATAGATCATGCATGCAAACAAACTCAACAAAGCATCTGGATACAATGTAAATTTTTATTCCTGATTTATCTTATTTGAAAAATAATATATGTATGAATGAACGAAATCATAATACACGGATAGAAAACTATATCATAGTGATTAGTCTCATTCGGAGATCCAAAAAGGTTCTCTTTTCTGACTTGCAAATGAGAATGTAATATGCAGAAAGTAAATGTGAAATATAAAATAGTTGCTGAGTTTAATGATAGCAGAAAGATCATTTCAGGATTTATCAGTTGATTTTGGAGTGTATATCCTGAAAAAAGATACATTGAATTCAACAAAAGTATTTGTTGATTTCTAGAGATGATATCACAAATTGCCAATTCAGGCAGCTATTTAAAATTCCCCTTATTTTGTGTCTATTGAGAAATAAGATCTACTAAAGTTAATTGGACTCATTTTCAGCTAAGAATGTATGTGATTGCCTTGCCTGCAAGGAGGCCTATATTTAGCTCAGTTGAGCTACATTAATAATTTTGGAAAGGCTGATATTTGTGATAGATGTTTTTGTGGCTATACAGCACAATGGGAAGAATATCCTGCTTTCTAAAGATAATTATTTGAAAGGAAAGACTAACTGTCATGTCCCTTTATATATATATATTTTAAATGCATTTCATTTATTCATAAAAGAAATAAAGGGGTGTTTAGGAATATTGGAATAGCTCTCCAAACCCTCTTCTTTTTTAAATGAAATAAGCTTACTGACCTGGAATAAATGGCAGTAGTTCTTGAGTTACAATCATAATTGACCAAGGCAGTTGTTAAGAGACTCACACCAATTTTATGACCTTTTTGCCACAGTTGTTAAATGAATCACTGCAGATTCACATGGCTATTAAGCAAAACTGGTTTCCCAATTGGCTTTGCTTCTCTGAAGCTCTTGGGCAGGTCACACATGACATTCACATAAGCCTGGGACATTGCAACCACCCTAAATACAAACGAGTTGCCAGGCAACCAAATTTTGATTTTGTGACTGGGAGGGGATGTTGGGACAGCTTTAAATACAAGGATTGGTTTAAGTCACTTTTTTCAGTGCTATTGTAACTTTAAAGAGTTGTTAAGGGGTCCCCAAACTTGGCAACTTTAAGTCTTGTGGACTTTAACTCCCAGAATGGCTGGAGAATTCTGGGAATTGAAGTCCACAAGTCTTAAAGTTGCCAAGTTTGGAGACCTCTGTGCTAAACAGTTGTTGAATCGTTGTAAGTCAAGGACTATATATAGTTACAGTTGTTAACCATTGATAAAACAGAGTTAAAATAAAATAAATTTCCACAGGGCAGGTTTTTCTCCCCTTATATTGAATCTTAAAAACACATGTTTATGCTAGTCTATTCACCTAAAATATATTTTAAGAAAATATAGCTAGTAGGTTGACATTAAATACAATGCATTCAAGCTTCTGGTTTCAAGCTGGAGCAATCGAATTCAACTTGTTTCCAATCTAGGAGGGAAATCTCAGTGCTGGATATCCCCACACATCTGCCACAAGGTGACCAGTTTTATTACATTTTCTTCCCATTTTCACTCTATAGAATTTGGAGAGAAAATTCCATTTTCTTCTAATGAAGAATATTGGGCTGCTTGAGCAATAAAAAACCCTTGGGAAGCAATCATAATTCAGAATTCTCTCATTCTATGTGAGAAGCAGAAGTGTGGAAGTGTTTCAGCTTCCACAGAATTTGATTAGTACAAGCAGCTGATTGTCAGTTGGATCAGCCTTCTGATGATCAGCTGTTTCAGGCTGCCATTGCCTATTGCCGCCTCCACACACCCCATTTTTGGCCTCCGCGTACCCCGTATTCAGCCTTTGTGTGCTCCATTTTCTGCCCATCTGATCCCTGCCACCTGGAACGGGCTGAAAATGGGGCACGCAGAGGTGGCAATAGGAAATGGCAAACCCTGAAACCTGAAGGCTGGTCATAGGGAGGTTAATCAGCTACTTGTGCTAATCAGGCTGTGCTGTAGCTGAAACAGGCTGTTTACTGTTTGCTGCAAGGAGGCAAATCGCTGGGAGGCAGAGGCAGATTTTTTTTTTCTGGTTTTCGTCCCCAAAAGCTAGGTGCGTCTTATACTTCGGAGCATCTTATACTCCGAAAAATATGGTAATCCTTCCTTAAAATACCATATACACTCCTAGAGCAGAGGTGTGAAACTCAAGGCCCCGGGGGCCAGATGCGGCCTGTGGGATTCTTTCATCTGGTCTGCAGGGCCACCCTGGAAACAGTGAAGGACCAGGCCGCAGTGCCTCTGCCAGCAAAAATAGAGCTCACAAGGGTCACGCACGGCCCTCACAAGCTCTGTTTTTCTGGCAGAGGATTGCAGGAGGCTGTCCCAGCTGAAAACGGAACTTGGGAGCCCGTTTTCACTGGCAGAGCACTCAGGCTGCCACATATGCCACATACGCCCCTGGCAAGCGTAATGTTGAGCTGGCCATGCCCACCCTGGCCACGCCACTCCACCTGAGGTCAAACACAACCTTAATGAGGCCCTCAATTAAATCAAGTTTGATATCTCTGTCCTATAGCAATGATTCCTAATCTTTGACACTTTAAAAGAGATGGACTTCAATTCCCAGACACCCTCAGCCAGTATGGGTGGGGAGGAGTTCTGGGCATTGAAGTCCACTCCTCTTAAAGTGGCCAAGGTTGGGAAACATTCTGCCTTACAGAAACATTGATTCTAAACAGTATATCAGTTGTCACGTCCACAGGAACAGAAACGCTACCTGTATATTTCATGGAAAATTATGCCAGTGCACGAGGCAAAAAGAAGCTTGCTGTGTCTACTTTAGCTGTAGCGATAGGCCTACCACTGTCTTCTCTTATAAAATTCTCAATGGGAGACGTATAACCCAAGTTTCCTTGCAGCTTCAGAAATCTTGGGATTTTTCTTCTGAGGGAAAGGGTAATAAGATAGCTTGCTAGGTACTGGTTTTGAAGCTGAGATGTTGAGGCTGGAATAATCCCAAATGGAAGTTACTGAGGTCCGAGTTGAGTCGGAACTGACTGTCTCTTCAGGAGGGCGTGAATTTTCCTCATTGATGGAGAACGCAATGGCCGGTTCAGAGCTGTCTAATGACTCTTCACAAGACCACATGCTATGTTCAGTCCGGTTTTGGACATTATCACAAGGCTGTCCATGGTGATGTCCCAGACGGTGGATACCAAGGTGTATGTGCCACAGTGAACTGTCTTGTCCATTTCCTTGGCAGGGCAAATCCACTTTGATCTCTCTTCCTTTCAGTGCTTTTCTCATGCTCTTGTTAATTAAAACAGCACTGATCATGGATTCTTTGGGAATGGTCCCATTTCTACCTGTGAAGAAAATTCAATTTTAAAAGGAAAATCTTACTTTCTGACAATGCGTTATACAGGAGTGTTTCACAACCTCAGTGAGTGTAAGATGTGTGGACTTCAACTCCTAGAATTCCACAGCCAGCTCTGATGCATTATAACTCTAAATCTGATATGACCAATTTTGTGAGCGCAGGAAAACATGCTACACATTCCAGCGTTAAGCTTTTCAGCATCTACATACCACAGGGGAGGCCTTATTTTGAAAAGAAGCTTAGAACAGAGCACAGGTAGCCCTTGAGTTACAACCATTTGTTTAGCGACCTTTTAAAATTATGACAGTGCTGAAAAAAGTGATGTGCAATTGGTTCCCACGCTTATGACCATTGAAGTGTCCCCAGGATCATGAGATCAAAATTGGCCAACCAGCGTGGATTACAATGGTTGCAGCATCCTGGGAAAAGCCAAGTCAAAGGGGAATTCCAGATTGTGGCAAAATAGGTTGTAAAATTGGTTGTGATTCACTTAACAACCATGTGTGCCCCATTCTAAATTTTAAAAATTGGCTGGAAACAGACATCTTCCTTAGAGACTTAATGATGTACAGTGCAATCGTTTTAATAAATTTTATACTTTGAGCGCTTCCTCAGGGGAACAAATACCGTCACACCGGCAAGTGAACATTTGCTATGAAATGAATCTTATACCCAAATACAGAGAGTCCTCACTAAGCAATCACAATCAAGACTGACAACTTGTGTTAAGCAAAGTGGTCACCACGTGAAACCAAAACTGCTTTTGATCTTATTTCAGCTTCTCTTTGCTTTACATACCTGCGAAGATTGTAAATGCAAGGATTGGATGCAAAGTTGATCTTTCATCACCATCATAATTAGGAACAGTCACTAAATGAGGACTGGTTGTAGCTATTATTATACTTCTGAATGGAGAAAAAAACCCCGCCATTTAGAAGTAATGAAAAGAAGCCCAGAAATAGCTTATTGTTCTAAACCAATCAATCAGATTTAGTTCAGACATCCTTTTCGTAATCCTGTTTATTTTTAAGTCATGTTTGTTCAACAATATGGTAAAAGATGTTGACATTCTTTTATAGGAAGTATATTTCCTAGATGTCCCTGTTCTCAACTTATGATAAAATTGAATCTGGAATTACAGTCATAATTCATGATGCTTGTTAAGTGGGTCGTCATGTAACGGTGCCCAAAGTTGTGACCTTTCTTGTGGCAGTTAAGTGAATGCCACAGTTACTAAGCAAACACCGCTGGAAATTGGAAGTAAATGCCAGCTTTTGACAAAAAGTATTGTAAATTGTGGTCATTTGACTGTGGGATACTGCAGACAGGTGTAAAATGCAGGCCAATTGCCAAGCACATGCATGTGGTGCTGGCCGTCTGAACTTTGAAACTAGGTTGTAAATACTTTGTGGGGATGCATTGTAACTTAGAATGGTGGCTAAGCAACTGATCATGGATCAAGGACTACCTGTAATTTCCTGGTATCCTCCCTGCCTTGTTAGTTCCTGGCATTTTGGACATCTTATTCCCTTGATGGCTCTTTTAGAACAAAGTGCAATCTTTAACTTGTTCTACACAAGCCAATGAAACAAATCTACTGAAATACGTGTGAGTATTTTCAACTTCTTTCTTATGAGCAGTTGCTCTTTGTCCCTCCTCCCACAAGATTTAGAGGAACTGTATCAGTTCAATGTTACAATGGCACTTAAAAATGTGACCTATGACCGCTTTTTCCAGTTACGACTTTTGTATCATTCCCCATGATCCTGTGAACAAAATTCAGAGCTTGGCAACTGGTTCATGATTGTGGCCACCGCTGTGTCCCAAGGTCACATGATCACCTTTTGTTACTTTCTCACAAAGTCAATGGGGAAGCCAGATTCAGTTAACAACTGGGTTACTAACCTATCTACTGCAGTGATTCACTTAACAACTGAGGCAAGAAAGGTCATAAAAAGAGGAAAAACTCACTTTACAAATTTCTCACTTAACAACAAAAATTTTAGGCTCAATTGTGGCTGTATGTCAAGGACTATTTGTAGTAATTTATTTTCTCTGGTCTCGGGGTTACTTTTTGGGGGAAGGGCATGAATGAAAATTTTCCTTAGTTTTGCCAGACCGAGACAGCAGCAGGAGCAGAGAATGAAACAGATTCCTTCTGACAGACCTATACTGTCTGTCAGCCACTTGGTGTCATACTTGGTAAAGCATACTGCTTTTTCCTTTGACCTGCCACAATTAGTTTTTTGCTTTCCCCAAAAGTTATGGCTCCATATTTCTTTTCTCCCCCCTTCGGTCTCCTTTAAAAAGGTGATTTTAATCTTCTATTACAAATTTGGCAAACTAGTCCTTTCCTGGGTTGATTTTAAACAACTGGCCTTGTTTAAAATACTTGTTTGAATACTTGTTTAAAACGCATGTTGTTACTGCTGTTGCTGCTGCTGTTAAAAACTGTTCTGCTTGTTTGATCTGCAAGATCTGTTCTTAACAGGACAATTAACAATATTACGTTTTACATTAAAGGCCAAGAGAGTTTGGCTGCAGGTTATCTGAAGGACTTTCTTGCACCAAACAAATTAGTAAAGAAGAATATTTGTAGCTCAGAGTTGAAATGAGAGGTTCTTGACACTTTCTGAGCTTGGTTGTTTTCTTGCAGATGCTTTATTACCCAAACTAGATAATGTAAAAAGTTAGCACCCACCCGTTTCCTAAAAGAATGTAATATTTTAGGAAATATTAAAAAGGAAGAATATTACATTTCCCTGGGTGAGAAGTTTTTTGGAGGGAGAAAGCAGCTCCCACTTTCTTAATAGCCCTCAGCAGATGTCAGCACTTAAGAGATAGCTAGCTCTATTCATAAACAAATATGAATCCAACAAAGATCCAACAAAGGTAGGACTAGCCCTCAGCACCTTCATTGCATCACCCTCCAAACTTCAACCAAACTTAGCTCAGACATTCACCATTAAACCTTTTTTCCAGTCAGCCTCCATGTCTCCAGTGCCTTTGTCCCGGTTGGAACTGAACCAGATGGATATTTCTTCCCAAGAATTACACTATCCGTGCTGGATCAGCTCCAGTGATGTTACCTAATTTGGATAATGAAACGTCTCCAAAACCCCCAACCAAGCTCAGAATTAACTGGAGATTTGGAGATGGTGTCCTGATAACTCTAGGTACAAGATGCCAGGGTGGAGGGTGGAATGGGGCAGGAAACTCAGTATGGTGGTTTCAAAGATGTGATCAAAGTTCTCGCTTCACTTTTAGCAAAAAAGAAAAGAAACATTGGGGCTGCCATCTTGTTTTTGACCCCTGTATTTTTTTTGTGTGGGAATTCCATTTCTGTGGTCTCCCATTTGGCACATAAAATATACAGTACAGAGGACATCTTTTTTTTTTGGGAAGAAATAAAAGGCAAACCTAAAAAGGGGCAAATCTCAAGTTCATAAAGATAAAAAATTGGTTTAGAAATGTGAAAAATCACTAAATAAAATTGCAGAGGAAGATTCAAGAGCCAAACCAAGGAAAACGTTACAAAAACGCACATTCCAATAAGCATCTCTAAAATCAAGCATTATCAAGCACTAAAAAGACAAATTGGTTGTCCAGATTTGTTTTTATCTGAACATAAAAGACCGCACGGAGTGGGACCGTTTGTAGGTTAAAAGTTAAATGACCAAAATAAATAAATAAAGAATAAAAGTGAGGTGTTTTGTTTTTTTCAAAAAAATACTTTGGATCTTAAATCTTTAGATTTAGAACAGCATTCTGAAATGAAGAACTGTCCTTTATAATAAGAATGTATGATAGCTGCAGATAAAGCACATTTAATGCAGAGTTCATCAGCTTTCTTGGTTTTTTTCAAAATGACATTTGCAAGATCGAAATTTTAGTGGCGTGAACTTTTACTTTTTTGTCTGAATAAACCTCCCAGGTAGCCCTCAATTTATGATCATTCATTTAGCAACTGTTTGAAATTACAGCAGCACAGAAAAATGTGATTGATCACCGTCCTCAAACTTATGACAACTATAGGGTCCCTGCAGTCACCTGATTGTGATTCGAGCACTTGGCAACTGTCAGGTATATAAAATGTTTGCAGCATATCAGGGTCACATTATCACCACCTGCAACCTTCTCAGCCGGCTTCCAACAAACAAAGTCAGTGTGGAAACCAGCAGGAGGTCACAGGTCATGGTTATCCAACGTGTCGCTTAATGACCATGGCAAAAAAAAAAAAGGTTGTAAAATTGAATGTGGTCCTGTGATGTCTCAACCACTGCAGAATTTAAGAATGAATTTTCCAGTCTAGATTGCGATTGTCAAGTCAAGGCCAACCTGTAAAACCCTGTTTATATTCTGGGGTTTTTTATTTGCAATTGCCCTTGCAATGGCTTACTTAGAAGACATGGTGTAACTATAAACATTTAACAGTGGTAGTACAGTTAGTCCTCAACTTACGGCAGTTTGTTTAGTGACTGTTAAATGTTGCAATGGCCCTGAAAAAAGGAATGTGATTATTTTTCACTCTTAGGATTGTTGCAGCATCCACCATGGTCACAGGTCAAAATTCAGATGCTTGGCAACTGGTTTACATTTTATGACGGCTGCAGTGTCCCAGGGTCACGTGATCCCCTTTTGCGACCTCCTGACAAGCAAAGTCTATGGGGAAACCAGGTTCACTTAACAACCGTGTTACTAACTTAACAACTGCAGTGATTCACTTGACAAATGTAGCACAAAAAGTCATAAAATGGAACAAACTCACGTAACAAATTTCTCATTTAACAACATAAATTTTGGGGTCAGTTGTGGTCATAAGTTGAGGACTACCTGTAGTAGATTTACGGCAAGGTGGGTCACAAAGCAGATTTCTTCCTGATCCTGTACAAACCTTATGATGATCTAGTTCAGAGATGTCAAACTCGATTTCATTGAGGGCCACATCAGGGTTGTGTTTAATTCGGGGGGGGGGGGGGGGGGGGG